CCCCCCCACAGAGAGAGAGAGAGTGAGGGAGGGTGCGGCAGTGGTGCAGTGAGAAGCCTGCACGTGTGTGTGTGTTGGTTGTGTGTGTGCAGGTTGGCAAGGATTCGACCACCGAGGGCGAGACCGAGTCCAAGAAGGAGTCCGTGACCGAGGGCGACGAGAGCACCACCACCGAGCAGCCCACCAAGGAGAAGAAAGAGGGCGACGCCGAGGGGGAGGGGGAGGCCAAGGAGGCCGGCGAGGGGGGCGAGGCCGCTGCGGCGGCGGCAGAGGGAGAGGGGGAGGGCGCCAGCACCACTGAGGTCAACGGCAAGAAGCCAGAGGGCGAGGAGGGCACCACCAAGAAGGCCGAGCAGAACGGCCGCAAGAAGCCGTACATCAACCGCCTCTACGTCTCAAGACACCAGACCAAGGTCAGTCAGCTGAGACCACAGATACCCACACACCACATCAGACGATACCATAGCATACGCCGCTCTCACCACTGTGTGCGTGTTGTGTGTGTGTGTGTGTGTGTATGCAGGCCGAGCGTGTCGCCGCACTGAAGGCCAAGTACCAGGCCAACGACACGAGCGTCGCTGCTCAGCAGCAGCGGTTCCAGGGCGTCAACCTCTACGTCAAGAACCTCGACGACGCCGTAAGCCAAGCCCCACACACTCCCCTCCCTCCTCACCTCCCCCCAACACACACATGATACTTGTCCACGTGTTTGTGTGGTCAGATTGACGACGATGCCCTCCGTGAGGCCTTCCAGCAGTTCGGTACCATCACGTCCGTCAAGGTACCCCTCCCACTGCTTCCCCTCCGACCCCTCCAGACACACTCATTGATCAATGTGTGTGCATGTCATGTGTGTTGGTGTGTGCAGGTGATGCGCGACGACAAGAACGCCTCCCGCGGCTTCGGGTTCGTGTGCTTCATGTCGCCCGACGAGGCCACCAAGGCCGTCACAGAGATGCACCTCAAGATGCTGCACGGCAAACCGCTATACGTCGGCCTCGCAGAAAAGAAAGAGGTCAGTCAGTCAGCCCGCACCCACCTCTCCCCCCTGCCATCCATCCACCCTCCCCTCACACCTCTCTCTCTCTCTCTCTCTGTTTGTCTCTCTCAGCAACGTGTGGCCCGTCTGCAGCAGCGGTACAGCCAGTCTGCGGCCGGCCCGGGCATGCCAGCGGTGCGCGGCCCCCCAATGGGCGGCATGGGCGGCGGCATGGGCATGGGAATGGGCGGCGGCCCCACCCCCCAGGGCATGCGGGGCTACGGCAACTTCCCTGGCCAGGGCCCCTTCGGGGCCGGCGGCCCGGGGCAGGGATTCGCCGGACAGCAACCCAACATGTGAGCCACGAGCCAACACAGCCAACACAGAGCACATGATGGACAGACAGACACACTGTGGATGGTCTGTCGGTCTCTTAGGTACGGTGGTGGCGGCCCCGGCTCTATGTTTTTCGGAGGTGGTGGTGGCGGGATGGGCCCGCGCGGCGGCCCCTCGCCCATGTACGGCTCAGGTATGGGCGGCATGGGTGGCGGCATGGGCGGCATGGGCGGCCCCTGGCGCACCCAGACCGGCCCCGGCGGCGGCCAGGGCACCCGGCCCTTCATGAATCTCAACACAATGGGCGGCCAGGCGATGGGCGGCGGAATGGGCGGCATGGGCGGGATGGGCGGCATGAATGGCCCCGGCCCCACTCGCCCCCAGCAGCAGGGCCAGATGGGCGCCCAGAACGGGCCGGCGGGGGCTGGCGTGGGTGGCCAGGGTGGCCAGGGCGGCGGGATGAACGGCATGGGGATGGGGATGGGCATGGGCATGAAAGGACCCGGGCAGCAGACGCCGGGCGGCGGCCAGTACGGCATGGGCGGCATGGGCGGTGGCGCTGGAGGGGGCATGCCCAACGGCATCGGCGGAGGTGAGAAACACAACACGACAAGACACACGGAAAGATGGCCCACTCATCTGTGCGACTGATTGATTGGTCGTCATTCATCAGGTCGTGGTGGCCCCCGTCCTGGCAGCGGATTCTTCGGCGCACAAGGGCGGTTCCCGTCCGGCCAGCAGGCACAGCAGGGCGGCATGGGCGCTGCCACACAAATGGTACATCCACACCACACACCAGACCCACCCACACCCACCCTCTCTCTCTGTTGTCCTGTGTGTGTGTGTGTTGCAAGCAGGGTGTCCGTCCCCCCGGCGCCCCAGGGTGGCGCTTCACCGCCCAGGCCCGCAACCGGTTCGACGCTGGCATGCAGATGAACTTCATGCAGCAGCAACAGCAGCAGCAGGGCCAGCAGGGCCAGGGCGGCCCCTCAGGCACACCGCAGGGCCAGTCGATGGGCGCGGGCATGCCCATGGGCGGCGGCGGCGGGCTGGGCAGCGGCACGTTGGGCGGTGGTGCAGGTGGTGGTGGTGCTGGTGGGGGGATGGGCGGTGCTGGCGGTGCGGGCGGCATGGGCATGCCAAGTGCACAGACGACCAGCCAGCCTTCAGCGGTATGCTCACCCTCTCACACACAAAACAAACAAAGCGGCATATGTCACCGTCTCTCTGTGTGTTCCGCCCGTGGATGTGTGTGCGCAGGGTGGTGCTCCTGGTGGTGGTGGCTTGACGGGCGGTCCGGGTGCGCCGATCGACCCCGCTCAGCTGGCGTCGCTCCCCTCAAACCTGCAGAAGCAGATCCTCGGCGAGAAACTCTTCCCACTCATCGCAAAGCTCCACCCCGACTTGGCCGGCAAGGTGAGCTGAGCTCACCACACCACACACATGGTCAAGACGACCCTCAGACGCATATTGTGTGTCCATGTGGTGGTGTGTGCAGATAACTGGCATGATGCTCGAGATGGACAACAGCGAGCTGCTGATGCTGCTGGAGAGCGAGCAGCAGCTCAAGGCCAAGGTGGAGGAGGCCCTGAGGGTGCTGCAGCAGGCGCAGCAGACCGCCGCAGGGCCGGGCCCGGGACCGCAGCAGCAGCAGGCCACGGCCACCCCCACGGGGGGCAACCCCCCAAGCCAACAAATGCACATGGGCGACGCGTGAGCTGAGTGAGTGGATCGGGAGAGAGAGAGGGGGTGGGTGAGTGGCGTGCCTTCTCGTCTGGCTTCTCTCTGTGTACTGCCTCATGTTTCTTCATTCATCTGTGCCTGCCTGCCTGCCTGCCTGTGTGTCGCGTGTGTGCTTCGGTCGGGCTTTGAATTGGTGTGTGGGTGATGGATGGCTGGCTGGGGTGCTGTGTGTGTGTGGCGGCCCCTGGCTGAGCTGTGTGGGCGTGGCGGTGTTGCGTTTCGGCCACATACACACACACTGGGAGTAGTGTACAGTTTGCTCAAGGCTCCCTCACTCCCTCGCGCACATACACACATACATCTGCATAAGCCGGTTGGTAGACTGGTTGGTCGTTTGCTTATCCTGCCTCCCTCTCCCTCCCTGTCTGTCTGCCTGTCTGCCTAGCCCATTGCTCCCCTTCCCTCCCTTCCCTCGCCCCTTTATTCTCTTTGTCCCTTTTCGTCAATATCTCAACCTGACGGAGCCCACGCGTCCCTCCCTCCCTCCCCCCCCCCCCC